CTCTGGCTGGAGTACTGTGTCCAGTTCTGGGCAGCACACTTTAGGAAAGATGTGGACAAATTGGAGACATGCCAGAGCAGAGCAACAAAAATTACAAAAAGTTTAGAAAACCTAACCTCTGAGGAAAGGTTTAAAAAACTGGGCACTTTTAGTTTTCAGAAAAGAAGACTGAGGGGGGACCTGAGAACAGTCTTCAAATATGTTAATTTGCTGATGTAACTGGGAGAGCAGCATTTACAAAAAGAATGGTGATCAATTGTTCTGTATCAAGGGAGATTTAGGTTTGATATTAGGAAAAAATTTCTAACTCTAAGGTTAGTTAAGATCTGGAATAGGCTTCAAAGGGATGTAGTGGAATTCCCATCACTGGAGGTTTTTAAGAACAGGTTGGACAAACACTTGTCAGGGATGGCCTAGGTTTTCTTGATTCTGCTTCAGTGCAGGGGGCTGGACTTGATGACCTCTCAAGGTCCTTTCCAGCTCCACATTTCAAAGATTCGATGATCATTTAAAACATTTCCATGTGTACTATTATACCAGTTCTGTCCAGAGAGCAAACTACCCCTAGTTGCTGTCTTTTCAAGGTTCTGATAACAATTATATGAGTTAGCTGAATCATTTGCAAATTTGTGCCACTGGTTTGTGTTTTTAGTCACGTATCCTTTAAGAGAATGCCAAAGTTGCAATTAGAGTGCAGGAAAGATTTTCCTGCACATTTTCCCTCCACATTTTCATGTCTCTTCCTCACCACTGATATGTATTTAATATCCTTTCTCTGTGGCCAGTAGGGCAGGGTTCAATCTGTGGTGGACTTCATCTGGGAGCACCACATTTAGGCTGGGCACTTGGAACTGCTCACAGTCTTCTCCCAGAGAACTGAACCATCATGTCTAGCCTTTACTAGCCTAAAGCCTATGATACTTTGCCTGTCTTTGAAGCAGGGTCTTGCACGTGACAGAACTTTGTTTTGGTGCTGCACCACTGTGTTGGTTGCCACTTAGAACAATTTTAGCTCACAGGCCTTCTAAAAAGATTTAATGACTGGGTCAGATGTAGCAGAAAACTTCCAGTATGATTACTTAGCATGTAATTATGATGTCTTAGCATGCCAACCTGTGATTACTCCTCTACCAACAGGATCAGTTGGTGAACTTTCATCCTAAAATGAATATAACTTTTCTCAGATGTTAACTTGCCTATTTAATGCTACTGATAAACTGAAACTTTGCATGCTCTTATTTACATCCAGGAATATAATCAAAATATACAAGACATATGTTTTTGCAAGTTACACTTTAATGAACGTGTTTCCTTGTCCGAACAACACAGTATGTTAGCCCAGCATGTATCTTCTGAGCCCTTTCAGAGGTATTTTTCAGATGAATATATAACCATACTATGCATTTCCCCCTTTTTATCTAATTTTGCTCTTCTATGAACAAAAATGTCTAGGTCTCTATTAAATCACAAAAATGTTGATCAAATATTTTACAAAAGCTAGGTGCTAAGGCCAATACTGCAGGTCTAATTCTGCTCTCTCTTACACTGGTATAAGGCTGGATTAACTCCACTGAAATTGCTGATGTAACTGGGAGAGCAGCATTTAACCTAAAGTCTGCTCCAGTGGTGCAAAACAGCCAGGATGCTGTTTTAATAGGATATCTGGAGAATCCTCTGGTGGGTGTGTGGAGCGCATGTAGTTGCTCTACACTACACAGAGAGAGGGTGTGGCTAAAGCATCCCTGTGCTCCCGCTGTCCTCAGTTGCAAGGAGGGCCCCTTGGGGCCATAGACATGTAGCATGTCTCTGAAACGTCTCTGAGTTACACCAAAGACTAGACTAGCTGGCAAAAAGATTGCTTAAAGACAATGGGAGCTACCACGTGCTCAGCAGCACTTTTGAAAATCAGGCCACTTGATTTGATGCCTAAATATGGATTTAGAAGCCAAACTTTAAACACCCCTTTTTGAAAATCTTGGCCTCAGCCAAGTTACGTATAGCTAGATAGCAGTGATTGCAGCAGGAAACCGTTTGCATTGCATTGCCAGCTGGGTTTTAGGGAAGCTTCAACTCCATAAAAGGGCAGGTCCTGACACTAGAGCCACACATACATTCAGCAGATGGGGGGATAGTAGCTGCTACCGCGCAGAGGAGACATAACTTGATAGACAATCTGTCAGAACAGTCTGTAGAGCAGGTGTTTCGCAGAAACACTCCCTCGCCTCAGCGAGAAGTTAAATTGAACACAGAATCACACATATGATAGTCTTGCTGTACATGTGGAGGTCAAGGTCAGTACTACTGTGGGTTTCTACCCAAAGGATCCTTCTAGTCAACATAATATTGAGCCAGTCAGTTACCTTTCACTATATAAATCAGTGTCTTATTCTATTTTCAGGAGTGCTGCTCAATATAGACCTGCTCCACCTCACATTGAAATTGATGGTAGCTTTGCATTGACTCCAATAAAAGCAGAATCAGACCTAATATTATTTTTCCAAGGGAGCAGCACCACTGTCCTGATAGAAGGATTCCTGGTCCATCTTAAACAGAAGATATTTATTAAAGAAAACTACCCATCATAAACATATGTCTACAGAGCTTGAGTTCCAGCATTAATATATGGAGCTATACCTATCTCATAGAACTGGAAGGGACCCTGAAAGGTCATTGAGTCCAGCCCCCTGCCTTCACTAGCAGGACCAAGTACTGATTTTGCCCCAGACCCCTCAAGGATTGAACTCACAACCTTGGGTTTAAGCAGGCCAATGCTCAAACCACTTAG